TGGAATCGGCCTTTCCATGCCGTCGATGCTAATGCGTTACAAGATGACAAACTCCTCAGCACACGTACGATGTGCGGCACATGGGAAACACATAGGCAGAAATGGCCGACCAGCCATGCCGGCGCACGTAGGGAGCGGCCATTTCGGAAATGCCGATGGCAATAGAGTGACCGTATTCATTTTTTTTTTTCGTACTCGATTCTAACGCGCATTCGATTTATGAACTCGCTTAACTGGAAAAAAGATGCGTGTTAGATTCGAGTAATTACGGTACCCCGGTGAACAGATGGCGCACACCCGACAACCAGCCCGTCTGCTTTGCCTGTGGTTACGTCGGTCACGTAGCCCGTTATTGCCCTCGCGTACAGCCGGCTCCCATTTCTTCGCCTGTTGCAGGCCAGCTCAGCCGTCCCTATTTTGATGGACCGCCGTCTATGCCACCACCGTCTCACCCAGGTCCATCTGCTCGAAGGTCACCGTCTCCACGAAATCGTTCCCTGTCCCCCATGCGGCCAAGTTCGGCTGCTCATGAGCGGGAAAACTAGTCGTTGCAGTCCCCGAGGCAAGGACTGCAATGTTATCGCAATGTGAAAGCCCTCAGAGCAGCCCCTCGTATGCCATTGACGTGCTTGTGGACGGTGTTTGTGCATCGGCTCTCATTGACACTGGAGCTGCCGTATCAGTTATGAACGAAAAACTCTGCTGCTTACTTGGAAAAGTGATGATGCCACTTTCTGGGTTGTCCCTCCGTACTGCTAGTTTGCATCGTATTCATCCTACAGCAGGGTGCACAGCTCGCGTAGTCATTCAGGACGTTCTGTATGTCGCCCAGTTCATCATCATTCCAGCATGCTCTCATGACGTCATCCTGGGATGGGACTTTCTCTCCCGCCATGACGCCGTCATCCATTGTGCCACCACCGAAATTAAACTCTAACCCTTCTCGCATTTGATGCCAGAAAACAGTCCCTCGATAGTAAGCAAGATTCTAATGAAAGACGATACAACAGTGCCTCCAAACTCGACGATGGCTGTGTCGGACTACTGCGCCGGTCTCTCCGACACAATTGCACTCGTTTCGCCATCCGACCGCGCTTATAGCAAGAAAGGGTTGCTAGTACCTTTCGCGACTGTAGAGGTCAACCAGGGCAATGCCGCTATTTTTGTTTTTGTAACCAACCCATCCCCGTACACTGTTTACTTGCTTCGAGCCCCACCGTGGTGGTCTAGTGGCTAAGGTACTCGGCTGCTGACCCGCAGGTCGCGGGTTCGATTCCCAGCTGCGGCGGCTGCATTTCGGATGGAGGCGGAAATGTTGTAGGCCCGTGTACTCAGATTTGGGTGCACGTTAAAGAACCCCAGGTGGTCAAAATTTCCAGAGCTTTCCACTACGGCGTCTCTCATAATCAAATGGTGGTTTTGGGACGTTAAACCCCACAAATTAATCATGTTTACTTGCTTCGAGGGGAATGTCTCGGCAGAGTGGAACCAGTCGATGACACGCGTTGTCCCAGGTGACACGCGTTGTCCCAGGTCGCATACCATCAATGCTGTTTCCTCTTCTGATCCGTCATCTGCTGATGTATTTGGCCTTTCCATCGCTGACAACCTTATGGCGGTACAGTGTTCCCAGCTTCTGGACCTGTTGCAAGAATATCGTTCTTCTTTCGATGTCGGGCGAAGTTATCTCGGTCACAACTCCGCTGTTACGCATCGCATCGACACTGGTGCCCATCTACCTTTACAACGTCCATATCGCCTGTCGCCTGCTGAACGTCGCGTAATTAATGAGCATGTTGACGATATCCTGCGACGCGACATTATTCGGCCCTCGGACAGTCCATGGGCGTCTCCTGTTGTTCTTGTTGCAAAGAAAGACGGTTCTGTGTGGACTACAGACTGCTCAATAAGATTACTCGCAAGGATGTTTATCCACTGCCACGCATCGGTGACGCGATTGACAATCTTCATAGAGCCGATTTTTTTTCTTCTCTCGATCTGCGCTCGGGGTACCCATGGCTGACGACGCTCGACTGAAGACCGCCTTCGTCACACCAGATGGCTTGTACGAGTTCAACGTCATGCCGTTTGGTCTATATAATGCACCTGTGACCTTTGAGCGCATGATGGACACTGTTCTGCGCAACGTGAAATGGTACACGTGCTTGTGTTACCTCGACGATGTCATTGTCTTCGCTCCAGATTTCTCTACGCATCCGAAAAAAGTTCTCGCACGTGTGAGCAATGCCGGTTTGCAACTAAATCTGAAAAAGTGCCGCTTTGCAGCATGGCAACTCACAATCCTAGGGTACGTCGTGTCCAAGGATGGCATTCTTCTTGATCCTGCCGAGCTTCGGGCCGTGGCTGAATTCCCCAAACCTGCATCTGTCAAAAATTGTGTAGTCTCGTGGCCCTGTGCTCATATTTCCGACGCTTCATACGAAACTTTGCCACGATCATATTACTGCTGACGAAGCTCCTTGGAAGTAACAGGCCCCTCAATTCGTGATCATCCGAGTGCGACGACGCGTTCACGAAGCTCCGCCATTTGTTGACGTCGCCTCCCATTTTACGCCACTACGACCCTACAGCCCCAACGGAGATGCACACGGACGCCAGCGGTGTAGGCCTCGGTGCTGTCCTAATGCAGCGCAAACCCAGATTCCCTGAATATGTCGTAGCATATGCAAGCTGTACGCTCCAAGAGACAAGACAAACTACACCATCATGGAGAAAGAGTGCCTGGCGATCATCTGGGCCCTTACAAAGTTTTGACCTTATTTGTATGGTCGCCCATTCGATTCCGTCACTGACCATCATGCACTATGCTGGCTTTCATCATTGAAGGATCCCTCAGGCCATCTCGCCCACTGGGCTCTTCGCTTACAAGACTACGACATCCGCGTGCTGTATCGCAACAGACGCCAGCATGCTGACGCCGACGCCCTCTCGCGCTCCCCTCTACCTCAAGACGACGTGCCCTGCTCAGTAACCTCAATTGCTGTATCTGCCATCGATGTTGACATCCTCGCTACCAAACAGCGAAAGGATAATTGGATCGCCCCGCTGATCGACTTGCTCTCTGATCCGTCCGCAACACCACCCACACGTGCCTTGCGTCGTCGAGCTCACCATTTTACCACCCATGACGGCCTCCTACACCAACGCAATTACGACATGATAGCCGGCAGTGCTTAATCGTCATACCCCGCAGTCTGCGGTTGGAGATATTTGAATCTTTCCATTCTGATCCGCCATGTGCGCACTCTGGGGTATCCAAAACTTACCACCGCATTTAACAACGCTACTTCTCGTGCGGGATGTACCGCTATGTGCAGCAGTTTGTTCGCTCTTGCCTCGCTTGCCAACGGCGCAAACCGTCAGCACACATGTCGCACGCCGGTCTGCAACCGTTACCATGCCCTGACAGTCCGTTTGGGCGCGTAGGTATCGATTTGTATGAACCACTTCCTCTGACGTCGGCTGGTAATCGCTGGGCCATCGTTGCTGTAGACCATTTAACGCGAAACGCTGGAACCACCGCTCTCCCAGCGGCTACTTCGCGCGATGTTGCGTCCTTCCCACTGCATCGAATCATACTGCGCCACGGTCCACCCCAGAAGCTTCTCAGCTATCGAGGCCATGTCTTCTTGTCAGAAGTCGTCGAAGCCATTCTGACGGAGTGCCAATCTGTCCACCGCAAAACTACTGCTTATCACCCGGAGACGAATGGCCTCACCAAACGCTTTAACCGCACCCTCGGCGACATGCTTTCGATGTACGTCACCACCAACCACACGAATTGGGATAATATACTGGTCTTCGTCACCTACGCCTACAACACCGCCCCTCAGAGTACGACCGGTTTTTCAACTTTCTACTTGCTATACGGAAGGCACCCATCGCACACCATGAACACGATACTCCCGTACACGCCGGATCCATCTGAGTGTGCACCTATTTCTGAGACAGCCAGGTTTGCTGAAAAGTGTCGCGAGCTTGCCAAGACTTTTACAACACATGAGCAAGAGCGGCAGAAGAGTATTCGTGATGGCTCCACCACTTGTGAGCCCACGTTCCTTCCTGGTGTGCTTGTATGGCTCTCGATCCCGACCTCTGTAGCTGGCCTCTCTCACAAACTACATCACAAATACGAAGGCCCCTACCGTGTCATCGAGTGCAGATCTCCGGTCAACTATCTGATCAAAACCGTCAAACAATCTTCGGACATGCGCCGCCGTGGGCGCGACATCGTCAACGTAGAGCGCCTGAAGGCTTATTATGACCCGCTCATAGTAACAAGCTGTTAGATAGCCAGGCGGGGCCCTCTTCGACCCTGGGGTAATTGTACCGAAGCTTAACTCTGAAATGGGTCGACTCTTGAGTACCTTCTAGTGAAGCTACCCAACAAGGATGCCACCCGCGCTAAGTGTCCGTGCTTGGCCGTGACTGTCGCCATTGTGTATGCTAGCTGGTTGACGGCTAATAAACACCTTAACAACATATCTACACATAATGAGGCAACTTGTATCTGTTCTAACATCTAAAAAAAGAATGCCCCTAGTACAAAGAACTCGAACAACAATAATATGAGTGTATTAAGCACTCTAATTCAGGATATTCACTAAATACAAAGAAAAAAGAAAACATAAGGGACAGGAACTTGTCATGGCATAAAAACAAAACTAATAAATGTTGAAGCATCATGTGAAACCTTTATAAAATAGTATTTTTATAAAAACAGCTTTTTTTTTTTATCTGCATCTACCCTGAAGAAGACCTACTTGGATGAGGAAAGCCAGAACAAATGGCCAATGCTTTTAGAGAAGAGACAATTCAAGAATAAAGCTTGTTTCTAGCCCGGTCCAAATTTTCTCATTTGAGCACGGCCTATGCAAGTAGGTGACATTCAACATATCGTTACAAACAAATCAAACCTTAGCACTTTTTGGAGCCGTGAAAAGTTTATGTAGATAAAAAAGAGTGTGGATATATCTCACCGAGAGTGTTCAGACGGAAGAGCCTTCCCAACTCATAGGGAAGTACTCGAAGATGGTTGTGATTCAAATGCAGCTGCTCCAGCATTACCATATCACCCATCTCAGCCGGCAGAGAACGTAGCTTGTTGCAGCTTAGATCCAGGTGGGTTAGTCCTGCTAGTTGGGAAATGCCTGGCGGTAAGCGTGTCAGGCAATTGTCATTCAGGTACAGGCAGCGTAAATGTGATAACTGCCACAGTGCAGGGCTCAGGTTACGGACGACACCTGTAACAAAAGAACTGGCTCACTAAGAGAAAGAGCAATGAGTAAAATAAAACATTCAGGTACAGGCAGCGTAAGTGTGATAACTTCCACAATGCAAGGCTCAGGTTACGGATGACACCTGTAACAAAAGGACTGGCTCACTAAGAGAAAGAGCAATGAGTAAAATAAAACACACAAGCATTGCAAGAATAATTATAGAAGTGTTATGCCACAGACTTAATGTACTTCAGAAAACACTCAAAGCTAATGAGACAAAAAAACAGGCTGCTAAAGGTTTATCACCGCACCATCCACTACCTCTGCGGGTCCTTTCTCTTATAATTGTCATCACAACAGACAGTGAAGAGTATACATATCTAAATATAATGTGCTCTACCTAAATATTTTGGGTTGCTGGAACAGTGAATGCACATCACATGTACAGTTAAGAGATAAATACAATGTGCTCTACCTAAATATTTGGGGGTGCTGGAACAGTGAATGCATATCACATGTATAGGTAACAACTACAATGACTGATCCAAACTTGCAATGTATGTGATCCATGACACAAATGGTGCATATCTTGTGTTTTTCAAATAAACATATGTAAACAAATATATAGTTTTCTTATGTGTGAATACCTGAACAAAAAGTTGGAAAGGAAGCAGTATATGGATTTATCTGGCCAGCTTTGTTGTCCACCTGCTGACCCAAGGCTCAAATGGTTAAAAATGAATACTTTATTCTGAAATGGATGCCAAGGCTTCTGAAACTCATTAGAGTAAATATGCTTAAAAATGTTAATAGATATGAGCACTTTTTTTAAAGCAAATAGAAAAAAGAAAAAAATACATCAGAATTTTCAGGCACGTAGCCAGGGCAAAAATTGGCTGGCTGCACCGAGTTGAACGATGAATATAGACTAGAGAAAAAAAAAACCTCGTTCAAGCATGTTATTTTCGGCAAAATGTGCATAAAATAATACTGTGCAGTGACATCACACAGAAATAGCTTACATGCTATACTTTACTGGTTTTAAAATCAAACAGATGCTCCCTCCCCCTCAACCGAGGCAAGTGACACACATTGCAGTAGTTACCACTTCCTCCAATGAGTCGAATGTCACCACAGTTTAGGAGACAATACTCTGCTTTTTCTCTCCTTCGATTTCTTTCTATATTTCATATATGTATATCTTTGCTCCTCAGCATGTATAAGTTGCATCCATAGGCTTTTTTAAATCAAGAAACCACATCAGGCTTAAGATCACAAGAATATATGGTCCCAGACAAGCATGAATGGCCTTCCAGCCTTGAGTACACTGCTCTTTTTTTCCCCCACCTGTTATCTCCAGCTCTGGCCAGTAAGATTTTTTCCCTGCAGCCAATTCTTCAGGGGACATGATGGTATGTGGCATGCGTGTAGGGTTGTAGTCATGCTTTTCTTTATCCTTGTCCCTGGAACCTGTCTTCGACATGGGTAGACCTGGAAGGTAAAATGAGGAAGGGCATAAATTTACAAACAGCTCCGGGTATGCAGAATTTGCAGATAACAGAGCTTTAGAACATCATAAGTACAACTGAGCTTGCACCTTCCAAAATCACACCGAGAGTAAGTTACCTTGTGTACAATAGCCTTTAGTGAAATGCTGTGGAGTGTATCCTATGATCTTCAGCACTGATCACTTAAGCTTATATGCAAGAGGCTGTATAATGTCAGAGTAGCATAAATGCCTGGATGAGGCAGCTCTACATGTGTGTAGGCACAGAAATGTAGTACATATATGCAATACATATTTGGAATATGCCCATTAAGGTGCATTCCACATTACCACATATGCAATGGTCCAATATCTGTTTATATATTCATCAAGGAAACTTCCTTATAGTGGTAATCAGACTGAACAAAAGAAACCACAAAAGATAAAACCAACTAATTAAAAATAATCAACAATAAGCAGAAAAACAGAATATTTGTGTTGTTTGTAACCATGACATTACCCAAATTCATTAATGACTACCATGACCTCTACACCCTCCAGTGAATCTTGAATCGTCACTTTGTCAGCACTCTGAATAAACAATCGCAGGGTGACATAGATTCTTTCTGCAAGGAGTCCATACTGCCACCAATCTGACTACCATTGTCCTCATCATCTCCTAGTTAAAGAGATTTTAATTGCACTTCCATGACTCTAAATAATCTAGGTGACCAAAATTGGAACGTAATGTCTCAATAAAGTAATGCCATTTCAATGTGACAGAATCCCCTTTCATAGAACATACAATGCACAGCATATCATAAACATATACTGCACAGTTGTTCCTAGAAGACAGCTCTATACCACCAAAAGAAGTGAGCATTTTATCAGCAACCTTTCAGGAGAGAGTAGTATACTGAAGTGCTGTCCTCAATGTTAAACCCCACATATCAATCAATGCTGTCCTCAATGAGCCTGAGCATATTTGCTGCCTGCTAGAAGCAGACAGCACAGTGCTATGATTTAAAGCACAGTGCTATATTTTAACTTGACTGGCTTCCTCATTGTGGCCACAGTTTCATTTAAAAAATGCCACTTTCATTTGCAAACCTGGCCACAGGTAAACTACATCAGATGGGTAGGCTAGTGTCAGCCAGCAAAATAGCCAAAGCAAAACAAACAACATCAGCAGCAGTGACAACATAGCTCTGCTTGCAGCAGATGGTGATGCCACTCCACTGATCTGATTAGGAAAAATCTAATAAAAAACAAAGGAGTGCAAGCTACCACACTTTCATCAACTTGCCAGACTACCATGGGTCCCAAACACTTTGTTTTCAGATACAGACAACCAACCACATTTCAGTGTAATTTGGTAGTGCTACTGCCACAAATGCACACTGCAATTTTTAATTTATGGACTCTTCATTTTCACAAAAGTGCAGTACTACGAAAAAAAGGGTACATATTCCTAAAGGTACAGTGAACAAGATAGTGCTACATAATGTAGCTGTACTGTGATCAAGGTTTTTAACCTAAACTTCTCAAATGGTTACTTGAAGCAAAATGTCACAAGATTCACAAAGGATCTCACAAAAACAGGTTTTTGAATGCAGATCAGCTTATTTTGATGCATGTTACATACAACATAATAGTAATTTTTTCATCTATTCCAAGACTATACAGAATATCAACTTTCTTAGCGATGCCCACTCTAGCAATTTCTTTTTAATATCGCATGAGCATTGAATCAAGGTCATGATAGCAATTAATATCGGCAAGATGTAACGAAATCTGATACAGAAGCGAAAACACACCCTGATGCGTGAACTGCCTCTGCTAAGCTGTTGACTTAAGCACAGTACACCGTGTTAGCGTTACCTGCATGATCACATGTTCAAAAAGCCAGCCTGAAGCTATCACCCTATTGCTGATGTCATTGCTTCCTGCCAATATTAGGCACTATCATACCTTGAGGTCAACAGTGGTGCAATATTGTTAAAAAATTGCAAAAATGCACATGTCTTTTGGTCTATGCTTTTAAGGGTTGTATAAGTTCGGAAAAGAATTGGCCTTTGCTGCGGCTTTTGTATCTTTAACCCACCAAGCTTTCTCAAGAGTGGTGGGCACCCAAGTGCCGGTAAGCAAAGAGGACACATTTACATAAGAGAAGTTTTAGGAATAAGCAGCAGTTCAGCCGTCACAAATTCAGAATTTTCCAAAAGCATGGTTAGCTTTTCAGAAATATGTGAAACAAACTCTGTTTGAGGAGGTCGCTGCGGTCGCCGAGGTGAATGGACGCTCTTCACGTCGGCTCCGTTCTCATAGAATGATTTCGCAGCGAATACAGCCAGGCACCGCTCGGATTTATATACCATCTGATTCTTCTCGTCACCGAGAATCCGAAGAGACCATATTCTAAGGTGGGTGATCATTTTTCGAGATTTTAAGACCAAAAACCAGCCCCCACCAAGAAGCGTCTACTATTCCTACGACCGGCGCTCCGCGTCGACTGGGGCGGCCTCACGATAGCCAGGCCTTGGCGTTCACGCCATACAGGCCGTAATCATCAATAATGAAGGTATCGCAGCAGAATGAAGATGCCACCCAACGGGAAGACGAAGACGTCACCCAACGGGAAGATGACACAGGCAACGGGTGGACAGAAGCTCGAAACAAAAAACGTGCTAAGAAAGGTAGCCAGGAACGTTGTGGTAGCCCTAGCCCTACCCGAACGCCTAGAACGCGCGGTGCAAATTTGATATCCCAGATAACCAGAGCCAGCAAAATGCCAAGACTGCTGACAGGCGACTACAAGATAGTTATAAGGCCAGGAGGAGGACTGCAGCTATCCAAGCTCAGCTTAACAGAGCTAGACAAAGCTGTGTACGAAGCAGCCGAGCTCCCTTATGAAGAAAGAGAGGCGGACACGATTTGTCCGAATAATTTCCAGAACATCTTGGTCGTCAGTACGCCAAACCAAGACCATGCAGACAAATACCAAGGTATCAAGCACATCAAAGCCAACGACAAGTTGTATGAGGTGGGAGCATACGAGACGGCCCCAGAACTCACTGCCAAAGGTGTAATCAAAGGAGTTCCCTTGAACGAAACCCCACGGGACATCACCGCAACAATTATTACTGCCAGAAATCCTACGGCGATCGCAGCCAAACGTCTTGGCAACACCACGACAGTGATAGTCCTTTTTGACGGCAGCAGAGTCCCGTCATGTACAGAGGAGTGCTCACACGCTGTTCACTATACAGGAAACAAGTTGACTTTTGCAAACAGTGCAACAGACTTGGGCACAGGAGCGACGTGTGTTGAAGGCCAAACGACAAGCTGTGTGCGGGTTGTGGAACGCCTGATCCGAGCGAGAACCACCGCTGTCAGCCACGATGTCAGCTGTGCGACAAGGATCATCCCACGGCCGACAAACTCTGCAAGGCCAAGTTCAAGACACCCTACATCGTAAAACAACGCCAGTGGTTCCGACAACTTCAAGAGACGCACGAGGAGAACTACCCCCCCACCACCAAGCCAACCGAATGCGGGAGGTCCGAATTCCGGACGAGGGCCACGCCTGGGTCCAGATCAAGATCCTGCTCCTGCACAACGCCACGCGGCCACACCTCCCAGTCTCCGGGACTGAGAACGCGCACTTCGTCCCGTTCCAGATCCCAGTCTAAGCCAAGGGGTAGCAATGGCCATCAAGGGAACCCGGCATTCACGGTGAGCTGGTCAGACGTGGCTAAAGGGACGCGCCCTGAGCCTTCGCGGGAGACTGGGTATAATGTCAGTGATATAGCAGAGCTGAAAAAAGAAAACCCTGAGATTAGAGAATTGATATCACAGCTTACTCGGGAAATTCAAAGGCTTAAAAACAGCACAGATAGAACTTCTAGTCAAATGCGTTCCACGGCCCAAGAGCGCTTCGAAGAAATTCCAGATAACCGAATGGACGAGGACAGTACCCCGCCACCTCTCAAAAGAAAAGCTCAGGTGTCTAATGAAAAAACTACGGCACAAACGTCGAACATTAATCAAACATTGTCTGAAATACAGAAGGCAGTTAAGGAACAGGCAGAGGCAACCAACAACCTCGCGCTTGCAATATCCATGATCATGAATAGACTAGATAAACTCGAAGCTAACGTAGCCAATCTCAACCCTAGGACACCTCCAGTACTTCGAGCTGCCAACCTTCCGATGAGCACTGAAGGCAATTCACACTCATCTCAGGGCACCACATCAGCGGCTATATCAACTAATTTCATGAGGCCTGCCTCCTTCCTCTTCGATAGCCAACTCAAAATAGGGAAGCCCAGAAAGAGAGACAATTATTTGGCAGTGGAATTGCAGGAGCTATGAGGGGAAGAGAACAGTCCTGCAACAACACCTTAGATACAGAACCAAAACAGATGTTCTAATTTTGCAGGAAACCCATGGTTTAGCTAAGCTACCGGGATATCAGGCAATCGGCCCCACAACAGGGGATATTAGAACACTAACCACTCTTGTAAGGAATGGACTCGTAGCAATCTGCCACAACACCCGCATCACAGAAATTGAGCAAATGCTAGTACAACTTGCCCCTACAAGAAAAAAATCTCCGAGCATATTTATTCTGAATTTGTACAGCAATCCCACACACATACGACAACGCTTCCTTGTTCTCTTTAAGAAAGACATAAAAATAGCAGGGCCCAATCCACTCGTCATAGGTGGAGACTAACGCTCCACACAGTGCTTGGGGAAACGGATACACAAGAGCCAAAGGAAAAACGTTATGGCAGGATATTCAAGAAACAGGCTTAACTCTCATCACCGACCCAGACTCCCCTACGCGTATGGGAACTAGGCTTGCAAGAGACATCACTCCAGACTTAACGTTAGTTCGTAACGCGGGGGCCGCTAAATGGAAAAACACATTCGATGACCTGGGGAGTGATCAGCATCGTCGAATATTAGAAATCAGGATAGATACCATGGCTGCCACAGA